TAAAGACAGAGATCTAGACCAAGGAAATACAATAGCCCAGAAAGAAACCCTCACAGATATGGTCAACGATAATTTGACTAGGGTGCTGAGACCATTCAAAGGGGAAAGGACAGCTTTTGTTTTTCACAATTAGTGCAGAGAAAATAGCACTTGATCTTAGCCAAAAGACTGAGAAGTGATTAGTGCTGGGAAAACAGGACATCCATGTGGAAATGAAGTTCGACTCTTCCCTAACACTGAGTGCAAAACCTAAATCAAAATGGATCAAAGACTTACATCTAAGATGTAAAACACAGGCCTCGGGCTTCAGAAAATATGACTTGGCAATGAGTCCTTGTGTGTAACAGCCAAGGCACAAGACAGCAAGGAAAAAATAGAAAAGATGGGCTTCGTGCCAAAAAAAATTTTTTTAGGGGGGAGGTGAAGGGAGGGTGGGGGTATGGGGAAAAATGAGAACCAAGATCAGTCGTGTAAAACTAAAAGATCCCAATGATAAATGTCACTGTACTGTATACTTTAAAAGTATCAAGAAGGGCTGGGGATTTAGCTCAGTGGTTCCAGCACCTGCTTCACAAGCACAAAGACCCAAGTTTGATCCCACGTACAAAAAACTCAACGAGGAAAAAAAATACAATTTTAAAATTTTATTCCGCTAAAGGCACTATCAACAGTGTAAAAGGCACCCCACAAAATGGGAGGAAATATTTGTGAACCACCTATCTGATAGAGATATATCCAGAATATACCCCAAATTCCTAAAACTCAGCAATATGAAGCATGCAGCCCGATGAAAGAGTGGGTAAAGGATATGCACAGACCTCCTCCGTGGAAGACACAAACGGCCAATAAATAAAGCGCATGAGAAGATACTCAGCATCAGAGAGATGCAAATGAGACGCAGGAGGCACCTCCTGTCCCTAGGATAGCTCCTACCAAAGAGATAGAAATTGTGTTGGTGAGGATGTGGGGACGTTGGGACCCTTGTACGCCAAGACTAGGAATGTAAAATTCTGCAGCTACTATGGAAAAGAGCATGGTAATTCCTCAAAAAAAACCCTCAAAGTAGCACTAGCTGGTGGTCCTGGAACTCTACTGGGTTTATACCCAAAAGAGTTGGGAGCTGGGTCCCAGAGAGATATTTATACATGCTCATGGTGGGATTCGTAATAGCTAAAACACTGAAGCAAGTGTCCATCAACAGACGAAGAGATCAGCAAAATGAAGGTTATTCGGCCTTTAAAGGAAGAAGGTCTAACATCTGATGATTTGGATGGACTTTGAGAACACGCTAAGTGAAATATGCCAGTGTCTAAAGGACAGATACTTAAGATTCCATTTACCTTAGGTACTTAGAGACAGGGAAAGACAGGAAGTAGAATGATGGTTGCCAGAGACTGGGGGGTACTGTTTGACAGAGACAGTTTTCAGTTTTACTACATGGAGTTTTACAGATAGACGGTGCTAGGAGTAGCACATTATGAATGTATTTAACACCACTGAACTGTAAACTTTAAAATGGTTGAGATGGTAAATTGTATATGTGCTTTATCACAATAAAAAGACAAAGGAACCACTGATTTTGAAGTTGTAAGTTTTGAACTGCCTCTTTTAAACAGGGCTTTTAAAGTAATTCTAAGCCTGTGAGCCAGAGACGAGGTAGCTCCAGGCCATGGTAGATGACACCAAGCATGCTAAGGGATGATGCTGGAGACAGGGCCAGTCACCTAAGCAAGCTGTGGCCCTCGGTCCCAGAGCCAGCCTTTGCCTAACACTCAAGTGTCATCCATAGGCCCACATGGCAGTGAGGAGGTGAGGGTGGAGGAGGGAAAGAGGAGGGAGGAGGACAAGCTGTCCCCACCAGGGCTGTGATTTTTGACATGCTCTGACTTAATGAAATCTCACATGGAAACAGCACAAAATATCTGTAGGGAGGAAGAGACATTCCCTTTGGTTGGAGCCAAATTCAGAGAGCTGCTGAAGGGCGGTGACATGGGGGTTGCTTGGGGAGCTTTGCCCTAAAAAGCCAGTGTCACTGCAGCTCATGGAGGAAGGGCAAGGAGCTGGTTATCTGAGGCACCAGGGGAAGTCCCTCAGGACTTAGATGGGCGGGGACGCACTGAGTACCTTCCTCTCTGCTGCTCTGCGTGGGTTCCAAGTCCTCTCAGATGTGCCATTTGAGGCATACAGCAGTTCAACTGCAGCGTGTTGGTGTCTCGATCTCAGAGCTCAAGCTCAAGTCGGCTCAGGTCTCACTGGCTCTCTCCCTCCATCGTGGAGTTACTGTCCCAGGGCTGGGCTCATGGAGGGGAAAACATTTAGAGTCTCTCTGGTCTCTCTGGTAAACTTCCCCAGCTGAATGAAATTCAGTACAGTGAAAACACTGTAGGGCTGGGGGATTCAGCTCAGTGGTTCCGCTGCTTGCCTTGAAAGCACAAGGTCCCAAGTTGGATCCCCAGTACCAAAAAAAGAAAACACTATAAACTACCAAAAGGCAAAGGGAAACACTGTGTTCACCAACAGCTCTCGCGAAGCCCTCTGCCAACTCTGACACTGAAGTCCCTGTCACCTCATCCTGAATAACAAAACAAGGCAAGGACAGACTGAGAGTAAAAGACAGGTGTAAGTTCAGGTGCCCCAGCTCCAGAAAGGAAGCCCAGGCCAGTCAGGAGGCAGAGGTGAAGCTTAGTGAAGGCCCCAGGTGGGCATATAGACCCCAAGGCCTGTCCGATGGCCCAACAGAATGTCCCCAGTGGCTCCACCCCAGGAAGTCTCGGTTCCTGCCAGCTGCTCCTGTCCCCTCCCCTTCTCATGGCAAAGGGATCTCCATTCTCTCTTGACACTGGGGAGCCAGCCCTCACCTAGTCACATCCTCACTGCAGGTGGGCCCTGCAGCTACATCTGCCCTGGAGAAGGAAACGGGCACTGAAAGTTGGGCTCTGGGGCCAGAAGGGCAGGTGGGTGGGGTCCTTCCAGCTCCCATTTCACCCTCTTGTCAGTAAGGTTCCCCAAATACTGTGCTTTCCTCAGAATACTCCTTCCCCTTGCTAGTCTAAGCAGTTGCTCTAACTTCCCATCTACTACCCTGGACGGAGACATACATGACCACCTCCCAGTGCTCCCATTCTAGAATGTGTCCCTGGTATCCAGTACCACCAGGACCCGAATCCTAGAGGAAGCTCTTCCATCAGAACCTTCAGGCATGACTTCCAGCTGTGTGAGAACTCTGACCCCCCCCCCAAGATTGAAACCATCTGCTCTGGCCTGTTCTAATCAAAGCGGACTGAGATGTAGCCTGGGGCAGGGAGAGAAGGGTGATGCACCTGGCTGTCCCCTGTGCCCCAGGAACATAGCGCAGTGACCCCTGCAGCTGAGCCCGGGTCCTGAGCCCTATGTTGGGAGCCACCTGTAGTTGACCTACTAGGCCAGTCTTGTTCCGGGACCTAGGCCCGCTACCTTACTCTCCCTAACCCAGAGGTGAACGAGGATGAATGACGGGACACAGACTGTTTAACATGCAGGCAGCTAGGGGCTCTCACGGAGGAGCCCTGAGGGTCCGGCTCATCTTGCCTTTATTCACCCAATAACCAGTACGAGCAATCAAAGTCACACAAGATTCATCTGCTTGCCACGCTCAGGTAAACAACTTAACCTCAGCTGTCTTAACTTTTCCCTAAGAGCTGCAGTATGCAATCAGCCTGAGTGCAGCCTTTCTCCTTCGTGCTTGCAGAGGGGCCAATGAGGCCTCAGTTCTCCTCTGGGTTCCCACAGTCCCCTGTAAAAGTGGGAGACTCGGGGGATGGCAGCCATCCCTGCCCCACCCCAGTGCCCATTTTATAAGGGCTGGTAAGTATAAGGAAGAGACATGGGTGTTTCCCCTTTTAAATATAATAAAACATTGGCTGGGGATTTTTAGCTCAGTGGTTCCAGGGCCTGCCGCAAACACAAGGACCCAAGTTTGATCCCCATACCAAAAAAATAAAAAGAAAACAGAAATATAATAAAACAAACATTTAATTGTTCAAAAATTCCTTCCGGTTATTTATGAATGACTCTGGCACCCCTGCACTCCCAGGCTTTCCTAGATAGAGCACAGCTCCTCCTGGTGTGCGGGGCTCCCAGTGTTGTCCAGATGGCAGCCGTTGCCCAACCCTCTCCCTTCCTCTGCTGGTCTCGGACTCCTGGTCCCTTCTATAGGCGCCAGCCACACTACCCTGCTGCTGCGTGCACCCAGGATGTGCACAATCGCTGTGTACCGACTACAGTGACCCGGCGGCTTCCTGAGCCTAGCAACTGTCTTCCCACTGGCGCTCTCACTCTCGTGAGGACAGCCCCCGAGCTCCGGGACCTGCAGCAGCTTCTTGGCACAGACTTCTCAGCTTCTTGAGCTCTCCTTTCAGGCCTTGAACCCTCCCCGAGCTCTGTTCCCTACCTTAGTCATCTGTTTCCAGCTCCAGTCCCCAAGACTGCTCAGTACCTTGCACATCTTCCTTGACTTGAAGTGAGAATTACAGTCACGTGTCGCTTACCGATGAGGACACGTTCTGAGAATAAGCTGTTGGTTGTTTTGCTCTCTGGGTGAACACAAAGCCAGATGGTAGCACCTGGCTACACACCGAGGCTCTGTGGCAGACAGATATGTGGTGTAGCCGGTTGCTTCTCAGGCCATGATGGACAAAGCAATACAGAATCAATCACAAAATCAAATAGTGTGGTGGAGGCAGGAGGTGAACATAAGACACAAATGGCTGTTGCCAGGGTAACACGGTACACTGTTACAGCAAATGAGGTTTTTTTATCAGTAGGAGTGGTGCACAGGAGGCCCTTGGTTTGGTCCCCAGTGCCAAAAGAAAAAAGTATAGTACAGTAAATCTAGGCACCGATCACCAATAGTCAGAGTCAAACATGCACGAAAGGGCCGGGGATTCGGCTCAGTGGTTCCAGCCGCCTGCCTCGCAAGCGCAAGGGCCCGAGTTTGATCCCTGGTACCAAATACAAAACAAACATGCACGATACACACCTGTACGTGCCACGCAGCTCCAGCACTGGTGGGCAGCGTGTCCACCCAGCTTCATCACGCACCCTTGAGTACATGCCTCGGGCCACCGGGTTACTAGGCAGTGAGAATGTTTCCACTCCATTGTGTTCTTCAGCGACTGCTGCTGTTTGTGTCTCACTGACCAGAACGTCACCATTTAGCACACGACTGTACTCATCAGTTGAATCAATGCTGTTCTTTTCAGGGAGTTGGAAAAGGAAAAGTGCCACCTTTGGGACACTGTTAGGCTCCATGTGGCCCTGGTTTAATGCCCATGACCCGAGGAAGCCTTCAAGGGGAGCTGGAGGTCGCTCAGCACTAAGGCGGTGGAGCCCATGGGACCCAGCTCTGCAATGGTCAAACCCTCCGAAGGCATAGTCACGGTACAGTTTGGTAACCCTAATCACTTGCTGTAACTCCAAGTAGCTTGGTGTCACGACTGCTTTATTTTAAAAGCCGATTGTGTTGTTGAAGAAGAGGCTGTGCTCTCTGCCCATTCTGGCTATGGTTGGGGACTGCTTTGGGAACTGTCTGGCAGACGCATATGCTCCTGGACCTGGGGTTTTCTGAAAACAAGAGAAGGTGGGGACTGATGAGACGCTGGCACAGAACCCAGAACCCCCTGCGTCTGGCTGCTGGCTGTGATGTGGCTGACGGATGAATCCCCCTGGAGGGAGTCAAGCCACACTGCGCTGGGGGGCCTCAAATCGGACGGCATCTGGGAGCCAAGGTGAGGCGGCTCTTGCTAGAGTCACCATGAGGCTAGAGAGGTGCTGAGTCAAGTGCAGGACAAGCTAGGGCACCTGCTCAGGGAGGTGGGGTCACGTTCCACCAGCACCTCAAGAGACACTGTCTCCCAGTGGGTGCTCTGTCCTGGCAGTGTCTGTCCCCAGAAATGCCATCTACCTTCCCTCCAATGACCTTGTCCAGCAGCAAATGGCTGGAGAGACTGGATTCTGAACCTGGATGACCTAACTCAAAAGTCCAAACTGGCTGAGAGCGGCGGCGGGGGGGCACACATCTGTAATCTCAGCTACTTGGGAGGCTGAGGCAGAAGGCTCAAGAAGGCCAGTCCAGCCTGGACCACTCACCAAGGCCACGTCTCAAAATAAAAATGAAATGGGCTAGGGACATAGCTCAGTACCAAGGCCCTGGGTTCAAATCTCCAGGCCTGCAAAAACAAATAATAAATATTTAGAAATAAACAAAAGGGCTGGGAATTTCTCAGAGTGATAGAACACTTGCCTAGGGTGTACAGGCTCCGGGATCAATTCCTAGTATGTCTGTGGGTGGGGAGAACATTGCTCCTAAACTGTGGCTGACCCCCTGTGATAAAGCAGCGTTTCTCGGCCTGAGTCTGTGGACCCAGGGCCAGAAGTATTCTTAAGGAATCCACAAGTTCTCATTCTTAAGCTGTCACATTTTAATTTTGATGAAGTTCTTATACCAAACATGTGGTCAGAAATTCAGACAGTTTCTCTTCTGTAGCGATAAATACAAATGAATGCCCTTCGATGGGTTTTGCATGATCTTGAAATACAAAGGGATTTTTATCTTGGGCCAGCCAAAGAGACACTGGTGTTGCAATTAAGGACAAGGGTTTGAAGATGGGCACAGTGGTGTGTGCCTGTAATCCCAGCACTTGGGTGGCCCCAGCAGCTCTGGTCAGAGATTCCAAAGGCTAGGCAAGGTGAAGGGAGGTAACAGGCAGCCCAGAGAGTAGCAACACTAGCCCTCTTGGATCATTTGCTGCAACTTGTCTCCTATCCCCTAGAGCTCCCAGGGGAACCATTTTCTTACAGGCAGAATGTGTCTTTGTGTCTTCCTGGCCATCTCCAATAAGCCCACACCAGCAAGTCTTGGTGACTTTCAGACTAGGGTGCAGGCAGGGAACAATGAAGCTATTAAAATGGTTTTAGCATTGTAAAATATTTTTAAATGCTACCATCAGCATACTCCACATCATGTTTCTGTGATATTTCCTGTTTTTTCAGGGCTTTTGAGGCTCTGTGTGCCCCAGAATCCATTTTTTTTGCAGTTGTCTGTGGCTGTGGGCTTCTTCTGTCTTCTGCCAGTCCTGGGAGAGACTGAATGCTCACGCCTTAGTGGTCCCATTTGGTTCAGTGTTACTGTTTTGGCTTTAGCTCTCTGCTTCATTGGGCTCCCAGAAGCCAAACATGTATAGATTGTTGGTTCTGGAGGCTGAAAATGGTGACTTTACACAGCCCATGGCTGCTCTATGTCCCCTGAAATTATCCAGGTCAGAAGATAGGCAGTCTGGTCACCATCACAATAGCGATGCTACATTCCAACTGCCACAGCAGGCCACTGTACACCAGAAATGTAACTACGGTCCCTCCATCTCACCCTACCCCCTTTGCCAGAGCCTTGGGACCCACACTGAAGCCACCCCTCAGGGGCATCTGTCCTTTAGAATACTTACTGAAAAACTAGGCAAAAGCCGGGGTACCCTGGATTGAAAACAAGAAGCAATAGAACTTGTTGGAGGTGTTTTCAAGTTATAGTGACCTGGTCCTGGGCCTTCACGCTATAGGATATTAGAAAAGGAAAAAGAACGTTTGATTATTACTAACATTTGATGTATTTTAAGGCTTTATTTATCTTCCACAAATAAATGCATGAGTCAGAAAATCTCCAGATCTGGGCTCAAAAGGTCTTATTAAGGTGTGACCTGGGGAAAATGGGGAAAAGGGGTAATGCGTGTTTTGCCTGCAAACTGTAAGGACTGAAGAAGATAAAGTGACCTGTAAATGCCTCTCCCTTATCCCTGCTAGGGTCCCTGACACCTACAAGCTCTCTCCCCACAACTGGGCTCCTGCTGACTTTCACATTGTTGATACTAACTTGCTTCCCTGAGCTGTTAGCTTCAGGAAACACACTTACCCTTTCTTTTTTTTTCTTTTTTCTTTTTGTACCAGGGATTGAACTCGTGCCCTTGTGAGGCAGGCAGCGGAATCACTGAGCCAAATCCCCGGCCCTACGCTTACTCTTTCATATTCTCATAACATCAGTTATCTGAGTCTAGAAAAGTATTCACAGCCATTCATGGAAATAAGCCCAGTGCTATGAGATTAACACAAATGGATGAACACAATTTTTAAAAAGGCAAGCACCCCGACAGGGAAATTAGCAAAAGGCAGTTCACAAAGAGAAAATGCAAAAATGCAAACGTTCAATAAGCAAACTGGGAGTGGGGGGAGCCTTATTAATAATCAAATAAATTCTATTGAAAACAATGGGATACTTTTTTTTTTTTTTTTTTAA